TTAAACCTTGGACTACTGGAAGGCTGCAAAGGTTTGCAAAGGAGTCCAAGATGGTCGAAGACCTTCCGACCCGAAGAAGGTGCGGAAAGTGATCCGCTTCGGAAAGCGGCTTATGCGGCAAGCTGTGGTTAAATCTATCCGGAAGATTGACTGGGTCCAGGCGATGGCAGGAGTCTCTGGTAGCGTCCGAGCCCCTAGTAGCTTCTTGCTCCTAGTAGTAAGGCCAGGAGCCCCTAGTAAGCGTCCTTGCTCCTAGTAGCGATGCCAGGAGCCCCTAGTAAGCGTCCTTGCTCCTAGTAATTGACAGGATGCCAACTTTCTCAGAAATTGGCCCTGCTGCTTAATTCTGTGTCACCCAACGTTTGTGGCTATTCCAAGGTAATTCGAACGTTTCGCAAGCGATCCAGTGACTAGACCGTTTTGCCTTCAACTCACACAATCATTCTGCCAAGCAATGCGTTCTCAACGTGCCAGGAGTACCCGAGCGCCCCCGGGAACAATCGTCCAATTTTTGTCTCTCGGCTGCAGGGATGTGGCATCAGACTACAATCAGCCAATTGACATGGAAGTATGTCAAACAATGAGTTTCCCGTTACAGTCACGTAACGAAAAACACATGGTGCAGACGGACGGTTCAAAGGTCATCATGATCAAAGTTGAAGGTATCCGTTGTGTCCCTTTCCTGTTTCGGAATGCAGGTTTCCCAAGCCAATTCCCTTCTGGTAGACACGTTCCGCCTCGGCTCAAGGCCTGAAAGGAGTCTTAACATTTCAGGTGAAAGCTTTGTCAGTGAGGAGTTCCGTCGGGTGGAAAGACATACCGTTTAGGACCTGATGCGGTTCCTTGCAGAGTGGGCTGGACCTTCAAGGTTTCAGCAAAGACTCTACGATGGGTTTGGCGCGAGTTGCCCGATGAATTCACTAGAAGAAGTCTGCAATTGTCCATGGGATTTTGCTCCCCTGCTCCTAGTAGCGATGCCCTTTGTTACTAGTGGCATCCTTGCTCCTAGTATGGCCAGGAGCCCCTAGTAGCGAACATTGCTCCGTTCGTAGCGATGCCAGGAGCGCCTAGTAGCGTCCGATCGCTCCCACTTCGAGCATGTGAGTGGAATGATGTAGAAAAAGGTTGAGAAGCTGCTCCAAAGACCAGAGGATCCGAATGGCAGAGGTGCAAATGATGCGGCACGTCCAGATGGTTCGACGGCTTTGACCATCGTAACTGAGAAAAAGACCACTTGAGCATTGAGCGGTTGTTGCTCGAAGCTGGAGCTGACAAGGATGTGACAACAGCTTTGTGCGCTGCGGTTCAGAGAGGCCACTTGGGAGTTGTGCAGCTGCTCCAAGCTTCTGCTGACAAAGATGCAACAGTGGATGACAGTGGCTCCAATGCTGCAGCTGAGAGCGGCCATTTGAAAAAGTTGTGCGCTTCAGGAAGTTGTGCGCTTGAGAAAGAAGCGATGCAATTGAAAGAAACAGATAAAAGCCATAAGTCAGTAAGTCAATTATTTAAAGACAATTAATGCTAAGATAAAAGCCATGTTAGAAGACCTATAGATAGAACATGAAGCGAAATTGTGAATGAATGACTGACTTTCCTTGTCTCTTAACCACATATTAATGCTGTACGATCTTAAAAAGCGAATAATTAAAATACATCCATTAATAAATCCCTTAATATATGGCCTTAGTTTTGAATTTCACCTAATCGATGATGGGACCCCTCCCCCGAGTTCTCATGTGAATCACAACAGCTGCCAAGGCGGAGCTTTCGTGTGGTGCTCACAAGGCCCTACGTGCAGGTGCCCTGGGGCTATGAGTGGAACGATGAGCCCGGGCCGCCTGAAGGGGGACGTGTACGGGAGGCTGCAAAAGATTTCGAGATTGGCTCAATACAGGTTTTGGAAGTTGTATAAATAGTTGAGGCACAATGCTTATCAGTCGAATGCTTCTTGGGGGAGGTGAATGCATGGAGGAAAAACCCGTTGTGTGGGATCAGCATATCTGCTACTTGAATGTGTTCAATTCAGCTAGCTGCTAGCTTGGCCGAGAACTGGGCCTTCTACCCATATTCCTGTGGCTGTGGGTAAAAATCAAGCACGTTCTGCGGAGCTTTGGGATGCTCACTGGGGCACCGGAATTCACGAGGAGTGCATTTTCTGCGGCAAAAGTGAGGCCAATGTTGAAGGGAAGTGGAGGGTTTCTTTCATTCAGCCACATTTGTTGGTTCAACCTCTTTCAATCCACAAATTTGAGACAAGAACATGAGCCTGGTCTTTTTTGTACATTTTCCTACTTTGGGATTCTGTGTCTGTTGGGCCATCTCTAGGGAGGCTCAAATCCATGCGATGGAAAAGCCAGACCAACCTCAGGTTCTTCACGCAGACGGGTGGCCGGGTGATCCGGGACATCCAGGGCCAGTCGCCCTTGGACCGGTGGAATGACCGGGCTCCCGGCATTTTGACGTGAGAAGATTAGGCGTTTTGAGAACCTTTGTTCCTAGTTCCTAGTAGTAAGGCCAGGAGCCCCTAGTAGCGTCCTTGCTCCTAGTAGCGATGCCCTTTGCTCCGAACGTAGCGTCCTTGTTACTATTGCTGACAGAGCGAGTGAGTCCTCGAAGCCCCCCGTTGCTCGTCCGATCCGTAGTTCCCTATCTGAGATTAGTGGCCCTGAGGTCTGGCAGGAGGTCACCGGACGGCCTGACCTTTGTGTACAACCAGGCAGGGTGTGACCTTGGCCATCAACTTTGGGATGGCGCATCTACATCAAAAGCATTTGTTTGAGTTTTGAGCAATAAAAGAACAAGAAAACCACCCTAAGACCCAAGAGCAACGGCCTCCACCATAGAAGCGATGGCCTCCAACCTACCAGAGATGGCCCTCCAACCTACTAGCGATGGCCTCCAACCTACTAGCGATGGCTTCCAACCTACTAGCGATGGCCTCCAACTTAATAGCGATGGCCTCCAACCTACTAGTGATGGCCTCCAACGCAATGGCCTCCACCCTAATAGCGATGGCCCCCAACCTACTAGAGATTCCAAAAGTATTCAAAGACATTGCCCATCTTTGAGTGCTTTTGAAGCATCACTGCATGGCAGCATCCGGTTCATTTGGTCTCATCCGATTGTTGAATGTTTCCAGTCTTCGGCCTTAGGCCCGGCCTTAGGCGTTTTCCTTCGACCGACTCTTTTATCATGTTCTTGGCGATTGACTTAGAAGCAGAGGTAGATGGTGATGTTCTTTATCCACACGAATTTCTTCTTGAGTTGAAGATAAGCTGAGCCTTCTGGTTGCTGAGTCTTCTGAGTTCCTGGTGTGCAAGGTGACCGGTTGATGAAGGCGGATGGTCGCTGGGCCTACTGCGAACAGGAGGCATGAGCGATAGGAATCAGTAAGACTCAAGTGGAACTTCAACAACTGAACAACTGCTTGGTCAAACGCCCTGAGTGTAAACTACCGTCCCCGCTCCCCTGCAAAGTGGTAACCACCTTCTTGCTTCATGCTTGGCTGCTGGGGGTGTCTCCACAACCAATCAACTACATAGTAGCTTTAAGCCAGGACGATGCCCTTTGCTCCTAGTAGCCTCTTTTCCCTAGTAGTAAGGCCAGGAGCCCCTAGTAGCGTCCTTGCTCCTAGTAGCGATGCCCTTTGCTCCTAGTAGCTTCATTGTCCCAAGTCCCAAGTGCAAAATTGAGGTGTGTTTTCAGATCGCTGGAAAGAACCAGGAAGAGCCGCAGGTTGATGGAAGCAGCCAGTCACTGCCCACTAAATCACAGCTGCCGTTGCTTCTGGCAACATGGCATGAAAGGCTCTCTGATATCTTGGGCGACACCAGCTCCCCTCCCTGATTTTGCTGGGCAGGTTTGCCTCAACGACAGTGGGCAGGCAAGAGATCGAGATGGTGGGTCGATGACGATTAGAGTAGTGAAAAGTTTCTACTAGTAAGCTTGTTTCTAATAGCTTCTTGTTCCTAGTAGTAAGGCACTTGTTACTAGAAGCGATGCACTTGTTACTAGTAGCTTCTTGTTTCTAGATCAATATGTTTTTGGTTGGGCAGAATCCGTCAGGTCTCATGACGGCCAAATATCAGCTGATCGCCCGGCGCACGTTGACAGGCGCCCTTCTTAGAGTCACCGGAGTTGGCCACTCAGCAGGAGCGGCGCCTGGTGTTGGAGTCGGGGAGCCTGAGTGCCTAGTAGTGAAGCAAACAGATGCATTTTTTCCTCAATTTTCTGGTGGGCTCAGCAAAGACTTGTTCAGTTCTCCATCCAAATCAAGTGTTTTTCTAGAGGTTTGATGTTAATTGCCTGGAATCGGCTAGCGGCTAGTTCGTCATGTCTTCACCGAATTCACTCGAAGTCTGCTTTTGTTTGGTTTTGAAGTGTGGCAATTTGTCACCGTCACCATGAGTACAAACCCACTAGCGAACTCCACTTGCTCAGGTTCATGCGCCCTGTGGGCCGGCCCGCACCACTGATGAGACCGCGCCTAGAGGCTGGGAGTTGATGACGATGCTTATTTGTCATCGCCCTTAGGTTAGAGGCCATCGCTCTTAGGATAAAGGCCATTGCTACTAGGGTGGAGGTCATCGCTATTAGGATCAGAGGAGTTTCTTTCCAATACGGCCCTGGAAGATGCACGCGCGCTTCTCTTTTGTCCAGCATTTGGATGAAGGCCTAATTCAGTCATATTCAATCAGGTATTGGTTGACCACCTGGTGAGACATTCATGTCATGAACACTACCCGCCATGAACAGAGCTTGCACAGCTTTTCCCATAGCTCCCTTTGGACATGTATGAGTGGACTTACCAAACAAGGCTTCACCACAGTTTCACAAACAAAGGCACATAAACCGACGAGGCTGAACGGACCAGGAGCAAGAACTGTGTGACAATTTGAATGGTTCTTTGATGATCTAAAGTCTAAGGAGGGTATTTCTTCTGAAGCAGAGGGGCAAGGATGCTACTAGGAGCAAAGACGCTACTAGGAGCTTTTTGAAGCATGGAGCTCGTCGCTTCGCCATGGCGCAGCACCTTCCCTTTGCCACCCTTGTCCCGAACGCCTGCGCCATGTGTTGTGCGCTCGTCCCTTGCGTGGACGGTGGAGGCCATCGCTGGTAGGTTGGAGGCCATTCCCTTTATTGTTGTTTTTTCTTTTTAAATAATGAGCTTGATCTGAAGGCTATCACGGCCAGAGTGGCGACACCGTTGCTGGTGACGGGGATCGCCGCTGTGGCCACGCGTAGAAGAGAGACGCTCGGCAGCCTTGACCTTGTTTCTGGCAAAAAGTTTTAGCGATGTTTTTGACCTTTCTTTCTCAGTTCCTCATTGTGAAATCTTTGGTTTTGGTCTCAGGAGAGGGATCACCCGAAGCGCGTGCGCTGCGCGTGCGCCGGTGCAGAAGGGCCAGGTGCTGCCGGCACAGCTGGTGCCTGAAAGCATCCAGGCACCGCCCTACGTGGCGGATCCCGAGAAGGTCCGCGGCTGGTGGAATGCGCAGATCGTCCCGAAGAGTGCCTTGGGCTGCCCATTTACCGAACAAGTTGCCTGCTTTCGAGTCGGCTGCGGCCTCTGTACCCATCTTCAAAAAAAAACATTTTGCATTCCGGGGAGGAACATACCATACCTGACGCTTCTAGGTTGGAGGCCATCGCTCTTAGGTCGGAGGCCATCGCTATTGGACAAAATATATGTTCATTTTCTATGAGGTGCCAAACCACTGAGGTGAAGAAGAGATCGAAGCAATGCGAGCTGCTGGGAGGCTGGCGCATTCAGCATTGGACCTGGCTGAAGAGCTAATCCGTCCTGGCCTCACCACGGAGGAAATGGACAAAGAACTACACACCTTCATCTGCGACCATGGAGCTTATCCTAGTGATCTGCAGTACAAAGGAGTCTCACCTCAAGAGCACTTTGTGGATTAGTCAGAGCTAAAGCACAAGAGCTTTCGAATGAAACAAAGAGAAACAGAGAGTGAGAGAGAGAGAGAGAGAGAGAGCGAGAGAGAGAGAGAGAGAGAAAAAAAAAACAGAGAGTGAAAGAGGGAGAGAGAGAGAGAGACACAGAGAGTGAGAGAGAGAGAGAGACACAGAGAGCGAGAGAGAGAGAAACAGAGAGTGAGTGAGTGAGTGGGTGAGTGAGGGAGTGAGTGGCACACAACAAGGACTCAAAGCGACCCATGCTCGCGTGTATTGGGACACAGGGCGCCATGAAATTCATGTGGAGTTTCTTCTGTAATTGGATGCAGTGATCGTGGAAGAACACATCTACTTTCTATTTCAATGACGTCGATCATTTTTAGCGTTGCAGTCAAGACGTTGCCCAACCACCCTCTGGCCCAAACGTGGCCGGAGCACGCCACGAGGATTTCCCAAGAGCGTGATGATCAGCATCAATGAGGTCATATGCCATGGGATCCCTGACACGCGACCTTTGGAAGATGGAGATCTAGTGAATGTGAACTGGAAGATGCCGAACTAACATCATGTTGCCTTTTTTTCTTTGCTTGCTGTTAGATTGACCACCAATATGCCTTTTGACGCCACTTTTACGTGTAGCTCAAAGGCATGTGGATTTCAGAAGTTGTCTTGGTAGCATGTGAACGGTCCAATCCCTTCCGCTATAGAAATTGTTGCTTCTTGTTCCTAGTAGTAACAAGTGCCACGCTAGTAGTAACAAGTGCCTTACTAGTAGTAACAAAAAGCTATTGGAATTTAAATTTGGATTAATAGCTTCTTGTTACTACTAGTAAGGCACTTGTTACTAGAAGCGATGCACTTGTTCCTAGTAGCATGGCACTTCTTTCTTCTTGCTTCTTGTTACCAATAGCAAGAATGCTACTAGTAGTAATGCCCTTTGTTACTAGTAGCGATGCCCTTGTTACTAGTAGCTTCTGGTTCTTTCTTCCAGATCATTCTCAGGTGGATGTGACTTTATACCTTGGAGGCTTCCACGCAGATACAGCTCGCAGCTGGATGTGCGGGCAGGGCGATGAAACTGGGCAGCGCTTGGTCTCAGCCACACGTGACTTGGTGGTGGAATTGGATATTGGCGTTCTGCCGACTTGCCGACTTGCAACGGAGATCTTAAATCTTGTAGACCATCCACAATTAAATCAATGGACTCACGCGAAGATCGTTTATGGGAACCTCCAAGTTGAGGGACCGTATTTGAAGTGAGACGAATCGTGGTGAATGAAAGGCTAACAACTTAATGGGCTTCTAGCAATTGGAATGAGCCAGAACATTGTTTTTGTTTGTTTGTTCTTTGTTTCTTCTGTCTTTTTGTAGAGACCAACACACCGGACAAGTTCTTTGCGAGGTGAAGCCTTGGATGCGGCGGTGGCCGTGTGCGCGGCCGGAACTCCCTTGAAGGCGATCGGCACGGCGGTGGCCACCGTGGCGGAGCGGGAGAAGTTCGGAATCGTCAAGACCCTGGTGGGACATGGCATCGGTGAGTTTTTCCATGGAGCCTTTGGCTAGCAAGGACGCTACTAGAAACAAGTGCCTCGCTACTAGTAACAAGTGCCTTACTAGTAGTAACAAGGACGCTACTAGGGGCTCCTGGCCTCGCTACTAGGAGCAAGGACGCTACGTTCGGGGCTCCTAACTATCGCTACCGCCTTAGCAACTATATAGTTGTGCGGACCATTTTATCTAAATCTGGATGAGCTTTCGCATTTTGAGAGTGTTCAACGGCACGGTTCCAGGTGGTGTCTTCTAGCGCCTTTTGATCCAAACAGGGACTAGAGAATACGAAGTTTCCAGTTCAAGCTCCGTAAATTTGGGATGCCCTAATTTATGGCATTTCTTTTCCAGGCGACGTACTCCATGCATCCAATCTCGAAAGTCGAGTTCTGTCCCCGGCGGTGAGTTCTGAAAAGATGCCACGAAGCCACTAAGACAACACAGACCTGATCCAAACGAAGAAGAGTCTCAGGCCCCCTTCCAACCCTCTTGATGAGTCTTTCATGATGGGTCTTTCCAACATCTCTCATGCGTGCCTGAGGAGTTCCTCAGATTTTTCACTGTCGCAATAGCGACAACCGGAAGATGCAAGAAGGCACGACCTTCACCATCGAGCCGGCCTCTTGGATGGTCTGTTGATGGACAACTGTGGAGATTGGTCCTTAGATAAATATCCATCTCATGAAATCGGTGCAGGACTTTGTACAGTTTCATGAATGCCCTTTTTGGGGGTTCCTTTGGATTTGTCAGTTGTCTCACCGACACGACAGAGTCTTTGCTTCAAAACACATCGATCAACCCAGGTTCTGACGGAAGGTTCGGCGGAGTGGATCACCTGGGACGATGGCTGGACGGTGGCCACGGAGGATGCTGGACGAGCAGCGCAGTTCGAACACACCGTTCTAATCACTGCTGAGGGATGCGAGGTGTTAACCTGAGGAGAAGAAGGTGAGGCAAAGCGAAGAAAGCGAAGGTTACTGGCTGCTATAACTCGTGGCGACTCCTGCCATCCTTTCTTTTTCTCCAACCTCAGGTTTTGTGCATTGCGCTTGGTTTGAGACCACCCTTGTTGTGCTTTAGAGACACTTTACCGAAGGTTGAAAAATGTCCTAGATGTTCTTTTTCCTTGAAGACCGGCTCCAACGCCAACCACCAGCAGGAGTAGGACCACGCCGAACAAAAGGTGCCTGAGACCAAAGCCTAGATTCAGATGCTCATGAGCCGATGAGCAAGAAGCGATCGGAAGAGAATGAAAGGACACCTACTAGCGATGGCCTCCAACCTATTAGAAGAAATTATATAAATGGTCGCCTGAGTCGCCTTCGTTGCCAGGTTTGGGACACGCAGTCCGCCTTAGTGATCTCTTGGGATCATCCAGCAGCCCTGGAGCCCTACAAACAGGTGCAGATGGCTGGGCGCAGCACACGGTCGTCACGGTCGTGTCTGGATTCGGAGGACACGGATGGCCGGTGGGTGACATACATAGAGGCTGAGTGACTGCTGACAGGTAAGCCTGTAAATTGACCAACTGGTAGCAGAGGTGCTGATTCTTGGCATTTGACCAACTCCGATCCTAGTGGCGTCCTTGCTCCTGGTAGTGATGCCAGGAGCCCCTAGTAGATTCTTGTTCCTAGTAGTAAGGCCAGAGCCCCTAGTAGCTTCTTGTTACTACTAGTAAGGCACCTGTTACTACTAGTAAGGCACCTGTTCCTAGGATCTCGTTTTCTGTTCTTCCAAAGCTGAAAGACAGTTGTCCTTCCTCTACAAACCAGTTTTCCTTCCGTCCATGTTAGTTTTTACTACATCACAAGGAACCAAGCTTTACTGTAACACAACCGGCTTGTTGGACTCATTGGTTGATTGGAAAAAACATCTGGACCGACTCCTGACAAACTGCGACACCCAAACGAGTAGGAGCTCCGTATGTAGGTTTGATTATCCGATGGTACCAAGCTTTGATCCATCTCCCATCTGATGGTCCAGGTCTGGGGCTGGTCGGTGGCGATCTGTGACATGGATCATGACATTTGGCCACGCCGGCATCGGAGTTTGATTGGAGGGGCATGACCCGGGCATGGCATCGGAGTTTTTGTTTTTCTCTTTTCAGTTAAGTCACGGACATCTAGCCGGAAAGGCGAACGCACCCACTCAAGGCAAGTAAACGGGCACCAAAATTGAACCAATTTCGGGACAAATGCCCGAGTGAAGCCGGAAAGAGCAGTGGCCAGGCAAAGATTCTTGTAAGGTGTACCTTATTGTGTGAACTGTGATCGATGCACAAACTGCCAACATCTACCAAGTACCCGCAGAACAAAATCACCTAGAAGAAACAACAACACTTCAAGCCTTTTCTTCGGAGTTCACTAGCTTGGTGGTAGGAACGCAGCAGATTACCTGCCAAGTGACTTGCAGCAAGTCCAAGTCCACAAAAGATACAAAAGGCTCACCTACTAGTGGTGAACTTTCGTCTGTTCAGCTCCAATTCAGCTAGCAATGGTTCTAGCAGTTCCATTCTAGCAGCAACAATGCCCAAGCTTTCCAGGACAACATTCCCCGACTCTTATCACTCATGCCATGTGCAGCCCTTCTTTTAATGCCAACAAGCAGCTACTCTCAGTGCTCAGCTGTGGCTTCCGCAAAGCATCGCAAAGCTAAAGAATTGTTTTTGGGTGGGATGTGTGTCTTCAGTCATGAGCCATTCGGCCCGCCAATAAGCAACATATCTCTGGATTGTCATGGATTACACAGCCTATCGCGGTTCGTACAATGTGGTGAATGTGTGGAGAGCTCGTTTTGCCAGGTTCATTGTTGATGGCGCCACCTTCGTAGCCAGATCCTTGACCTTGGAGGGCTCAGACGTGGCTGTCGCCAAGCCCGAGCTGTGTACCATCTATGTGTGGCTCGGCCTGGAGTCGATGTGCGGGGCTTTCTTGCGAGGTCAGGGTGGGAGAGTGGTGAAACAGAGCCCATATCAGTGAACAATTTGCTAAGAGCGACGGCCTCCAACCTAGTAGCAATGGCCTCCAAACTAAGAGCGATGGCCTCCAACCTCCAACCTAGTAGCAATGGCCTCCAAACTAGGAGCGATGGCCTCCAACCTCCAACCTAGTAGCAATGGCCTCCAAACTAAGAGCGATGGCCTCCAACCTACTAGTGATGGCCTCCAACCTACTAGCCATGACCTCCAATCTACTAGCGATCGCCTCCAACCTAGTAGCAATGGCCTCCAAACTAAGAGTGATGGCCTCCAACCTACTCGTGATGGCCTCCAACCTACTAGTCATGAGCTCCAATCTACTGGCGATCGCCTCCAACCTAGTAGCAATGGCCTCCAAACTAAGAGCGATGGCCTCCAACCTACTAGTGATGGCCTCCAACCTACTAGCCATGACCTCCAATCTACTAGGGATGGCCTCCAAGAGCGATGGCCTCCAACCTAGTACCAATGGCCTGCAAACTAAGAGCGATGGCCTCAGCTTTATTGCGAGGGCCTCCACCTAATAGTGTGCATTGCTGTCTTTTTTCATCAAACGTTGTTAGACTGTCCTTCATGCAGAAGATCCCTTCCAAAGAGGCTACTGTCTTTTTGGGGTGCACAACAAGCATCCTCGCATCCTCTCACTAGAAACTTCTCCCTTGGTCTTTGCACGCTATTAGGTGGAGGCCATCGCCTAGTAGGTTGAAGACCGTCGCTAGTAGGGTGGAGGCCGCTAGTAGGTTGTTAGGGAGATTTTCAAGCAAATTGTTCACTGATAGTAGCGCCTTGCTCCTAGTAGTATGGCCAGGAGCCCCTAGTTGCGTCCTTGTTCCTAGTAGCGATGCCCTTTGCTCCTAGTAGCGAATTGTTCACTGATTGACTGATGGCTCTGCCAGGTCGGATGGCCTCTCGCATGCGCGGCCGTATGCAGCTTGCTGCGGCCTCATTTCCTCACGAAACCTTGACCCGTAGGGCGCCTCCCTTCGGCAGCTGATCGGTTCACCTGGTCCGGGCAACCAGATTAGCGATCAAAGACATACAAAAAAGATCAACAAAGCTTCTTGTTTCTACTAGTAAGGCACCTGTTACTACTAGCGTGGCACCTGTTACTACTAGCTTCTTGTTACAGGTGAAACGATTCCGATTTCCGAAACGATTCCCAAGGAAGCTTGTAGTTACTAGAAGGAACAATCCACGCTGAAAGTCTGAGGCATTGCGATGCTGACCGACCAGGGATGGTCAGCCTTCTCAGAACTCTCCAGGCGATGTTTGGAGTCTTCGAAATTCTCGGGTCCAGGATGGTCCAGGTGAAATCCACGCTACTAGGAGCAAGGACGCTACTAGGGGCTCCTGGCCTTACTACTAGGAGCAAGAAGCTAGTAGAAACAATATATAGAATTTAAATAAATTTAAGAGTAATTAGAATCCATTGTACAGTCTCTAGTAACTCTCCCCACAAAGCACTCCACTCCTTGATCAAGACACTCCACTAGGCTGAAAGGATAGCTATACACAATTGCCATGAACCGACTCATTTGGTTCCTGCAAAGCCCCTAGTCTCATCGCAGGTCTGTGTCCATTGCGCCCTCCGCCAAAGTCAGCGATGCGGTGCTGGGATTGGACTGCGGGTGGCGGGTGCAGTGCAGTGTTGCTCGTCAGTTAGATGTTTCCTAGTAACAAGGGCATCGCTACTAGGAGCAAGGACGCCATTAGTAGCTCCTGGCATTACTACTAGTAGCATTCTTGCTGCTAGGAACCAAAAGTCCTTCAAGTCCTTCAGGGCTCGGTGCTCTTCGGTGCTCTTCGGTGCTCTTCGTTGCTCTTTTCTTCGGTGCTTGGTGATGTTTTTTTTTGCTTTTTGTCGCCTTACTTTAACTTTAGGGATGACCCAGCTGCATCTGATTCTTCGATGCACCTGATGCACTTAGTCAATTCACTTGGGTTGACCAGTTTACAGAGCAAATCACGCAAGTCGATTGTTCGGTGTCGGTGTGGAACATAGAAGACAGTGCCTGGTATTTCTTGGACATCTCCAATGGTGAGCTGTCAAAGAAAAGGCCGTGTGCTGTTGACCATTTCAGAAGCTGGTTGTAAAGTACATTGTAAAGTCACGGAAATCCGATAGCACTGCTACGGTTTTGGCGTGTAGGTTAGAGGCCATCGCTACTAGGGTGGAGGCCATTACTAACAACAAGAAGCTACTAGGAACAAAGGGCATCGCTACTAGGAACCAAGGCTTCATCCGGATGGATTCATCCGGCAGGACCCAGAGGATGATGATTGGAAGCAACGCCCACGGTTTGCATGCCCACGAAAGGCGCCGCAGAGGGCAGAGTCACAACGAAACCACGGTAACCGTTGCCGTGTTTTTGCTGACAGTCATTTGTATCAGATGAGGAATGCCAGGAATGAGATATGCATTCGTCGTTGGCCATGTGAGCAAATCGAGTTTGTGGTTTTGGAACGAGAAAGAGTTTTGAGTCCTGAGGGTTGCCCTTGATCGACACTGAGGTGCCACCATTCTTGGAGAGAGTCCCAAGTAATATATATATATATATTGCTGGTGATCGACGGTGAATTAGTTTCCGGACATTCCAGAAAGCTTTTGCTGAATGAGGGTGTTGTCCAAGTAAAGAGCTAGAAGCTACTGGTAACAAGGGCATCGGTACTAGTAACAAGGGCATTGCGGCATTACTATTAGTAGCAAGAGGCTACTAGTAGCAAAGGGCAGTGCAAAGGGCATTACTAGCTACTAGTAACAAGTGCCTTACTAGTAGTAACAAGAAGCTATTAGAAACAAGTGCCACGCTATTGGGTAACAAGTGAGATGCAGATTCTGTCAGAGTCTTCGCCCTTTTTCGGCCACAGATGGTGCCTGGTGCCTCCGTACCTGTCACGCTCCGCCCCTTGGTGGCCACAGCTGAGAACATGGCCAGGAGCTACTAGTAGCTTCTTGTTGCTAGTAGTAAGGCCAGGAGCTACTAGTAGCTTCTTGCTTCTAATTGGGAATTTTTAATATTTGCATGGATGCAGGAGTCCATGGGATAGGATAGCAAGGATAGCAAGTTGGCAAGTGTGAGGATGTGCCACTCCATTCCCAATTGTAAGATTGGAATCCTCAGGCCTTTGTCTTGCACCAAACAGTCCGGCTTGAGGGGGGGTGTCCGCACCCTCACTCCGGAAGTTTGTAACAAGAAACTAGTAGGTTGGAGGCCATCGCTACTAGTAGCAAGAAGCTACTAGGGGCTCCTGGCATCGCTACTAGGGGCAAGGACGCTACTTGGGGCTCCTGGCCTTACTACTAGTAACAAGAAGCTACTAGTAACAAGGGCATTTCTACTAGTAGCTAGGAAGTTTGTACAACACATTTCGGGAGCTCTTTTCTCTACACGACATCACCCGACCACTCGTTAGTGGCCTGGAAAGTGGCCCTGCAACGGTTCCCTCGTCCTTGTGACTCCTGCGAGGCCCTTCCAAATGCCGTTTGTTCGTAACTTCTAGCTATTAGGTCTCCTTTGCTCCTAGTAGCTTCTTGTTCCTAGTAGTAAGGCCAGGAGCCCCTAGTAGCGTCCTTGCTCCTAGTAGCGATGCCAGGAGCCCATAGTAGCTTCTTGTGACTTGTTAAGTTTCCCTAAAAATCTAGGAACCAAATCATCAGTGCCAGCGTGAGCTATCCTGCGTCCATGCGTAGTAGCTACGTGCAGGTAGTAGCTACCTCTCCCTTACTTAGTTAAGTAGGCGCCTACTATGTAGGGAGGGAGAGCGAGCGGGCTAAAATAGAAAAGATAGCAGCTACTCGTAGCTTCGTTCGCTACTGCGCTCCTTCGTTCGCTCCCCGGCTGCTCAGGTCCTGGGCCTCGCGACTTGCTGAGTAACGAACGATGGCTCCGCATGGACGCGTGAGGCTTAGGAAAGCTGGTGATGTGTGAAACACCGAAGGAGATGGGATCCCAGTAGCGTCCTTGCTCCTAGTAGCGATGCCAGGAGCCCCTAGTAGCGTCCTTGCTCCTAAGATGAAGATGTCTTGCAAGAAGTAAGATGTAGTTGTTCCTCAGTAACGACCAAGTGTCCACCCACAGTCTAAACTGGGATGGCCATTGTAACTTGCAGACCACAACTGTTGGTCTCCTCTTTCTTTCAGAGTTCGCCAAAGGCACGCAACTGTGACTAGCACTTTGGTAGAAGACGATGGAAGTGAAAGGAAAACTTGATCCTCAACCAAAACGCCATGGTCAGACCAATGTCCTCTGGAACCGCTTGACTGGTCACCGGCCGACGAGGTGTGCGTAGAAGGCCATGATGGATTGGTTTTGGTGCCCGCGGACTCATCCATGAGACTCCTGCAAGTTGAGAAGGCCAGGCGGGCGGAGCATGGCAGAGCATGGCAGAACTGTGTCGGGGATACCCCGAGTAGCCTCCTTGCTCCTAGTAGCGATGCCCTTTGCTCCTAGTAGCTTCTTGTTCCTTGTAGTACGGCCAGGAGCCCTTAGTAGCTTCCTTGCTCCTAGTAGCGATGCCAGGAGCCCCGAACGTAGCGTCCTTGTGCCACACATGGAACCGATGTCTGACTTGTCGGTCTTAGCGCCTTGACCGATCCGATTCGTCCTAGATCATCCCTGGCTCCTCTGCGGATCTGTGGAATCAGAAGCAGGCGAGGCTAGCCGGGCGGTCCACAGGGTTGGAGAGGATAAGGTTCCAACTGCAAAGGACCTTAGCAGAGCTGAGCTTTTTGGGATTCCTTCGTTTGGCAAGTTCTTGCTAAAGACTTTTCATTCACTCTGGGGACTTCACAACAACAAAGCATAACATGGCTTCGATGTGCAGAATCATGAGCACACACTCAAGGGTTTCTGGGATCCCAATGTTGCCATCATTCTGAACCTTGAGGGAGGCCATTGCTATTAGGTTAAACACTGTCACAACTTTTTCGATATCTGAGGAGACCTTTGAGTTGCACGGCTATCAGACGAGCTTCTCCGTACAACCGGGCGACGTGGGGATGCCCAGTTGACCGTGAGACGGCGAGCGCTCGATGCCGCAGACATATGCGATCGAATCAGAGCCAGATATTTGAGACATATTGTAACCTCAGTAGCGTTCTTGTTTCTAATAGCTTCTTGTTACTACTAGTAAGGCACGTGTTCCTAGTAGCGGTGCACTTGTTACTGGTAGCCTAGTAGCTTCTTATTTGTAGAGCTTTTTGGAGTGGCACAATGACAATGGAAGATCTTCCCAAGTCCTGACAGGTTGTGCAAGGTGAGACTAGTTGCACATTTTCGCTTAGGTTCCAAGACTATCTGAGTAGATAGCAAGTAGCTCGCTAGAGCAAGCCTGAACCCTCAGCAATGTAGCATCATTTTTGAATGTCAAAATCAAAGTTGAACGCAGACTGCGGGAGGCATGACGGCATGGCGTTGAGCTTATGGTGTGGCATGGCACGTAGTGCTTGTGGCGTTGAGCTTGCAGGTCATCAACAAGATCAACGGCTTCTCTGGAGCTCAGGCGGGAGCCGCGGGAGCCTGCCACAGAGAGTCCGATGTCGAGAGTTTTCTCCAAAAGGGAGCAATGTTCGCTACGAACGGGGCTCCTGGCCTTACTAACAAGAAGGCTACGAACGGGGGGTCACAAAATTCTCCAAACGACGCAAATGTGCCTTTCTGGATGCAAAAAGTGGGGTGCCATGCGCTTTTCACCACATGCAGTGGCACGGGTGTGGCGATTTTGCCTTGTAGTGCTCCTTCAACGCCATACCAACAGCATGAGTACAACGACTTCATAGGAAGGGTTCATTAAGCCCCTCCACATCTGAGATCCCCAACAGACATGCAATGGAAAATGCAAGGGCGTCCCGGCGCCACTCCTCAGTGCCTGTCACACGTTCGTCGCGCAGGCTATGCTGTATGAGGTGCGTCGAAAGCCTCAGAAGTTGGGAAACTCAGAAGTTGCGTTGAGACGGGTCGGTCCACAGGTCGACGGATGGGGAAAAAGAACCACTAGGAGCAAGGACGCTACTAGGGGCTCCTGGCCTTACTATTAGGAGCAAGAAGCTTCTAGGAACAAAGGGCATCGCTACTAGGAGCAAGGAAGCTACTAGGGGCTCCTGGCCTTACTACTAGGAGCAAGAAGCTACTAGGAAGAAAGAGAACCGCTACTAGGAGCAAGGACGTTACTAGAGGCTCCTGGCCATACTACTAGGAGCAAGAAGCTACTAGGAACAAAGG